TCTGAACTTCTGCATGGATGCAGAAAGGTCTGTCATCATTTTTGCATTTCTGCTGTTTGCTTCTAATAGTCAACTATTTTGGATATATATATATATATATATATATATATATATATATATATAACCAAAATAATTGACCACAAAATCAATAAAAAGGAAAGGTGCTCCAATTGGAGGGGGTGCGTTGGGGATGGGTTGGAGGTTTTACCGGGGGGTGGGGTGGGGTTACGGGGGGTAGGAACAATCAATTTTCCAAACGGAGCACCATAGGTACCCCAATTGGAGTTCTGTAATTTTTTGTTGTAAGAATAAGGGCCCTCTCTCGCTCTATGTGTGTTCTTACAACAAAAAAATTACAACAATTCTTACAACACTCCAATTGGGGTACGTACGGTGCTCTGCTCGTAAATTTGATTGTTCTTACCCCCTGTAACCACCCTAGGTACTCCAATTGGAGTGTTGTAAATTTTTTGTTTGTATGTATAAGGGCTCTCTCTCTCTCTATATATATATATATATATATATATATATGTTGTATAATTTTTTGTTGTAAATATAAGCCCCTTATATACTCCCTCCGTTTTGAAAAACCCTTCCCATTTGATTTGGAGGCAAAAATAAGGAAGTGTTAAATTGTAATTGATTTCCAATTTTGCCCCTGATGTGATGGGTAAAAGTAAGATGTGATGGATAGATTATTAGAGAAAAAGTATGATGTGATAGGTATGGTATGAAAAAGTAAGGGTAAAAGTGGTTTTTTAATAGAAAGGGGAAGTGTTTTGTTGGAAGTGGAAAAAATGAAAGAGGAAGTGTTTTTGAGAACGGAGGGAGTATATAGTTTGTATATCTTGCTCTGTTTGATATGGTTTACATATTGCTTCTTCAGTGTGAGCTTGGAAAGGGTTGATGAAATCAGGTACCTTTTTGGTTTAAAGGTTGAGAGTTGTGGCCCACCTGATATGTTTGAAGAGTGCTTGAAATCTTTAGAGAACTATACAGGTTCATTTGGATCAATCGCAAATGAGTATATGAATTCGGTGGGTTTTGACAAGGCTTATCTAGACCATGTATGCTTAGTTTCTCTCCTAGCATCTTACTTTTTTTTCCCTGTATCCCTTAAGTTTTTTTTGTGCCTGCATGATTATCTTCTCACCCTAATTTTTAGTCTGACTTTTATTATTCCACTTATGGTACATGGCTGTATTTCTTGTCACTTTCAGTCATTCTAGCCAAGACCAACCGGAAATTGTCATGGATATTCAGTCTCGACTCTCGAGATACATTTGACAATTTTCTGGTTCTTTTTACTGGATAAATGGAATGAAATCTGCATCTTCAGTCATTCACCAATACTGAATAAAACAAAGTTTGAGGATCAAAAGTTTAAAATGTTCTTTTTTACACCTTGTATATTTGATATTCTTCAATTTTTTTTCTAAATATGTTTGATGGGGTTTCATACTGTACCTGCAGGTCAAGGAATCAGTAAAGTTACTAATGCTTTTGTTGCAAGAGCCTTGTTCTAACATAGTGAAGGAAGATGAAATTATCAGTGTGTTTTCCACTCCCCCAATTGGTCCTACTACAGTCTCCAATAAGATTCAAAAGCTTGTAGATAAAAGTGCTGAAAGGATAGATGGTGATAGATTATTAGATGAACTTGGAGATAATTTCTTGTGGGAATGTCCTGAAAATTTACGCGATAGGTTGACGCAAACCGGTCTTGCGAGTAGAAGGAGAAGCTCTTCTATGGATGGGGGAACAAATAGGCGTGGCAGGGGAGATGTTTCTTCCTCAGTTGCTGAGACTGCACCACCCCCACCCCCACGGGTGCCCATGCCATCTGTTGTCACTTCTGGTCCGACCAGACGCGACACTTTCCGGCAGCGAAAGCCTAACACCAGCCGACCTCCCTCCATGCATGTCGATGACTATGTTGCAAGAGAGAGAAACACCGATGGGTCCACCAATTCAAATGTCATTACGTTGCCACGAATAGGATCCTCTAGTGGACGTCCGCCTTCTATTCATGTGGACGAATTCATGGCCCGTGAAAGAGAGCGCCATAGTGGTGTTGGGGTCTCGCCTCCTGTGGTGGTAGAAAAGTTGGGGCCACCAGTTGAGAATAAACCAGATCTGGAGAAACAGTCAGCTTCCAGCCAGATGAAACCTGATCTTGATGATGACCTTCAAGGAATAGATATTGTTTTTGATGCTGAGGTGTGTGAACCTGATGATGATAAGTTGCCTTTTCCTCAACCGGATGATCCTCTTCAACAGAATTCTCCTCCCCGTTCAATTGTTGAAGAGACGGCAAGTGAAGAGACCAGACAGTCGTCGCGTGTGATGTCTTACACAGAAGAAAACACACAGAGTGAATTCTCTTC